AAAAAGATGAAATAATTAATAAATTAAACTACTTCTAAACGTAAAAGAAATTTTTTGAACTAGAAACATAACCAGATTTTCAAAACAAGATAAATAAATCTCTTGTAAAATTATAAAAGGTGTCGAATGCTTCGTCACTATATAATTAACTGCGAGCTGTTAACAAATTCATGAAAAAAACTGTGTATTTATTTAATTAGTATACAGTGTGCTAATTAGGAAGGTCGAAAGATTAATATTATTTTATGTATATGTGAATATAATTGATTAAAATCTACCATATATACATTGCCTTTTTGAAAGTATAATAAATTTAATGAATTTTTATTTGTACCTCATTACAAATAATGTTTCACTTGATGAAAACTGATTTTCATACATATGCAAGTAGAATCTTTTATAGGGAAAGAAATTTGCGGAAAATATAGTTTTAGATTAAAATTACAAAGTCAGGAATTATAATTCTTTTTTTTTACTTTTATTTTGTCCACAGGATTTTACAAATTTATGATTTCTCATTCCATAAAGTATACAACTATAGAATTTACGAGAAGTTTGCATGCCAAGTTTTAATTGCGCCTCCTTCGTCTACAAAGTCGTAATTAAAAGTGTGAAAAATAAATTGTATACACCAAAATGATGAATTGTTAAAGTTTTACTGAAGAAATTTGGCGTAAATTATATACATGTATATAGTGACAAAAAGAATTTCAATATTTTAAATTAAACGTGTGCTCGAGACAAAATGAAAACATATTATATAGAGATAAAATCAAAATTCTTTCCTCAGGTGATAAATTATTACAAATAATTAAAATAAGAAAGTTTTGCAGACTTTGTGATCGCATTAATTAATTAGCCACTAGTTATGAAAATACACATTTAGTTTAATAATTTTGTAACAATTCCTATGTCAAAAAAAATTGCAATTGGCAAAGAATCATGATTTAGTATAGAGACAAATGGGTTTTATTAAGTCAAGACTTAATGTTAAGTGCCTTAAAAGTTTTTTTGATAAAGAAATGTAAAAATTGATAATTTCTCACTTGACTAAAATTTAAAAATCTGCTTCAGACCTTTATGATAAATATAAAATTTAATGAAAAAAAATTTCCCCCTTTAAGATGACAAATCGCTGTAAATGAGAGTAAAAAATGTTGGAATATATCGCATTGCACGTAAAATAAATATGAAAATAAATAAGTTTTTCGCTCGAGGAATATCTACAGTATTGTAGTTTAGAATAGTGACCCGAGTTTATAATACATGATAATCTAGAAATAACTTCTTGTGGCTTTGGGGACGATAAATTATGTTACATTTTGCTTGAGAAGGCTGAGCTTAATCGCCTTTAACAAATGACTATGCGAATCCTTTATATTTGAACTACATTAGTCTTCTTTTTCCCTTTCTTTTTTTTGCACCTTTCTCTAAAATTTATATAGTTTGAATCATGAAGTAAAAATCATGGTGTCTCTTTTTAATCAGAAAATAATAATAATGTATTTATAAAATTTGTGCATCAAGTTTTCTTTATTTAATATTGAAAATAAAACAAAAATTAATTAATTTTTCTCATTTCAGGATGGCCACATGTCAGTAAAGTCAGGGAAATGTCAGGAAAAAAATTTTTTGTCAGTAAAGTCAGGGAAATGTCAGGAAAAATTTTTTTGTCAGGGCAATTAAATAAGAAGGGAAATGTCGAGAAAAAAAATTTTTGTCAGTAAAGTCAGGGAAATGTCAGGAAAAATTTTTTTGTCAGGGCAATTAAAGAAATTAAGACGGTCATACAATACATTTTTTGCTCTAAACAAAAAAATTTTTGTCAGGGAAATTCGTTGTTATGTCAGTAAAATGTCAGGGAAATGTCAGGGAAATTGATAAAGTCAATCTTGCGGCCACCCTGCATTTAATATTACTATATATTCGGCTGTCAATAATAAAAATTTTTACTTATTTAAAAATCCAAATAATCTGATGTTTTCTTGGGGAAATTTTTTTTTCACAGGAATTGTGGCAGATTTAATTCGGAGATACAGTTAAATATTTTAACGCTTTCAAAATTACTTGCCTTCAAATACAAACACTTTCGAATTAAGTGCATAGAAGTGTAACTTTCTAATTAACCTAACTCACAAAAATAGTATTCGAGACCTAAGGTGACGATCTATAAATAAAGAAAATACAATTACCCTGGAGAATAATGTATTACAAGAATTTGTAATTTCGAGGGAAAAGTTAGTTTCATATATTCAATTTTTTAGAGACGACAAATAAACATTGGTAAGGTAAATAAATATTACCGATATTTAATACAGTGAGGGAAACCAATTTTCAACCATTAGAGTAAAAATAATTTTGTTTTTTATTTAATATGAAATTCAATACAACAGTCCGTGGTCCACTTATACAGTTTATTATAATTCGATAATTGTTATTACATATTATTATTATTATATATATTACTAATAATTATTAGTATATAATTTTTTGTTTTTATTATAATCATAATAATTATTACTAACAGTGTAATTACTTTCTGTATAAATAAGCAAAATATGAATAATTAATATTTATTTAAATGGTAAATATTTATAAGATTTTTTTTTAAAGTATGTAATTTCTTTTAATTTTTGTCTTTTATTAACTTTGAAGACTGGTTATAAATTACGAATCAGTATTAAAAGGTAATAAAAACAAATTATTAGGTCGAGAGCAGAATTGAAAATAAGGTGCCAAAGTTCAAACTGTCTTATTTTTACTTTAAAGCACATAATTTAGGTGTAAATTTAAAAAATTAAAAATTCTTTTATTTTGTAAAAAAATTGTTATTAATAATAAGATATAGTTTACTCTTAGTTGATGATCGGTTGTAACTTCAATATTAAGTCAATATTTAACAATGGGAGCGTTCACAAATGATGTCACGCAATTTTTGGAGATTTTCGACCCCCCCCCCTCCCCCCTGTCACGCAATTTTTGCAATTTCACATGAGAAAAATACATTGTGTCACGTTTAGTAGAGACCCCTCCCCTACCCCCAAAAGCGTGACATCATTTGTGAACGCTCCCAATTGAAATTATTATTTTAACAAATATTTTATATTAATCTTAGAAATTATTAACTGTTATTAATTGTTATTAATAATTATTAATGGTTAAATTGTTAAATTTAAAACATTTTATTTTTTCATATAATATTATTTCTTCAAATTTTTTAAAATTCAACACTTTATAACTTTAAAATACATATCGTATCGTTCATAAACAATCATATTAATTATTAGAATGTTACTATTAAAATTATTATTTAAAGACCTAATACACAAAAAAATGAGTTAATTTTGTCATAAATTTTTGCAATATTTTCGGTAATAGTAATTTAACAAGATTTAAGGGTTTACATCTATAAAATTCTATTATTTTCAAAATTCATATATATATTTATCCTATTATTGCTTTACAATAATGTTTCGATTAAAACATTATTGAATTCCACTTATCCTTTCATAATTCCATTTGACGCTCTCCACTTGTGCTTGTATAAAAACCTCAAAAATTATTCAGTACTAAAATTCGATTCAACTCGAGTGCATGTTATTTACTATATGTATTAAAATTAAATGCCCCAAATGTTGAAATGCTGTCTAAAATTGTCATTTTACTTCATATTTTTGTTCATTAAATTTAGTAATAGCCAGTCTAAATAATTGCTATACAAAATTCAATTACAATAGTACTTGAAAGTAAAGAATTTATCAATCAATCAATTCAGCACTGAATGTAACATGATCGATACATTTTATTCAAAAATTACAAATATGATTGATAATATTGAAAATGACTTCTATATATATAAAGGAGTGATTCACAAAAGTGTCAGTTGTTGATAGATCAAAATGTTAAACCAGTCGGGATATTGGTTTAAAGCATGTAGAAACTATGCTTCGTCTTTTTCAGTGACATGGAAATAATTGTCAAATATTTTGTATATTATATTGAAACAATTTAATAAAAGAATTTGTCGCGTCTCTGCAGCATTCAATTTGAAAATAAATGAAAATTACGGAGGTAGATTTGTAAAATTAAACGTAGGAAATATTTAATTAAAAATTAATTTCAAGCCTGTTTTATAATTTTTCATTTTTATTTTCACTTTATTCACGTTATATTTAACAGATGTTCCGTTTTTTCATCTACTATTTCATTTCATTCTTTGTTATCCAGTTCAACTGTTGTTATTTACTTCAATTTACGATTTTAGTAAAATGTTTCTGATTTCAGATCCACCTTTTGTAAATTAATTATTCTGCTTTTACAGAAACTAATATTTTATCAGTTTAATTTAAATTAATTAAATGGTAGAATTCTGCTTTGAAATTTAGTTACCTCGGATGTTTATCTCGATGAAAAAAATAGATTTTTTCTCAGTTGGTTATTAAGATTTTCATTCTCCTAGTTCTAATTTAAGTTAAAATTCTCTAGGCTTTTGTCCAGGCTGTTTTTCTCCTATAGAAAATGAACTACATACATAAATTTTCCTTTAATTGAAGAATAAAATAAATTTTATTTAAAATAATTGGGTAAATTATTTACAAAATAAGAATCTCTGAGTAATCTGAAAAATTTAATTTTGTAATCTCGGTGTTAAATTGCAAAAGAAATAATGAGTATATGTAAATTCGACATTGACACTACTACCACGCTTGATTGGCTTTGATTGTACAAAGCGAACCAAGGAATTTGTTTCTCCTTCAGCCTGAGAAAATCCTTGTGAACAAAATAAAACGAAATTAAAAGAATTCTTCTCGGTTACATCCTTCACCTAAACTAAGAAATCGAGCACTGTGACAATCTGGAGCGGTCTGTCGGTGGCACCTCGCGCCAGATTGTTCGCTCTTGGCAAGCGGTCACGACCGTTCGCCAAGAGCAATGTAGGCGCAAAAGTGACCGTTCCTTTTAGGAGAATGCTAAGACGGACATTTTTTTGTTATTTTCAGATCATGCTGACGTGACTGGTGTACCAAGGTGGAAGCGGTACAGCGGCCAAAGTGTCTGCCAGGACTTCTAGCCACCAAATATAAAGGAGAAAAACATTTTTAATTGAAGCGAGACGAAAATTTGCGAAAAATCCTCACACCTCTTCATGGGAACGAATTTAGAATTCTTGCTGCAAAAAGGAGCCTTTATGCCGAGACGCTCCCATGAGCGTTTCGAGTCAAACAGCAAGGTGTCCTGATTGTCAATATCAAATAACCTTGGTTCCAAAAACCGAAGCCAAAGTATTCACTGAACCGTGACATTATGCCTGCTTTTTCCACTCTCTGCAAAGATCAATAAAAAACAAAGAGGAATCATCTCTCCGGGTGGACAAATCGACTCACCAGATCTGTACGGCAGCACTCTTAATGGCCGTGCAGAATTAACCCGTGCAGTCGTTAAAGAGAGCCGCGGTTAAGACTGAACCTCGAGGAAGTGGAGAACCACCTTCATCTCGCGTACCGCGTGATCCTTCGGACAAAGAAGCGGACTCGCGTTCCGCTACGGGAGAAACAGAGTCAGGCTGTCGTCATTCCAGAGGGAGAGGAGAACCTGAAAAGAGAGAAAGAGAGGGAGAACAAAACACTTCCCGGCAGAAAGAGAAAGAGGGACAATTCAAGTGAGTGTAAAACGGAGAAGGAAAGAGAGAAGCAGCAAAACATTGACAAAGAAAGGTGACTGAAACTCTGGCAACAAGAGAAAGAGAGTGAGCGATTGGGAAGGAGAAGAGGAAGAGAGCGAGGGGGGTAAAGCGTTACTGTGGAGACCGATGTTCAGGAGCGTACAATGGCCGGGGCTCTTTCTGGGAATGCCCCACAGCCCATAAGTGTCGTCACCGTTGATGGAGGTGTCGTGGAAAATGTTAATGGTAACCCCGAGGCGGAGCAGGACCCGCAAAATGAAACGATCACCGAGAATCCCCGCTCCTACACCTCGACGGAGGCGCAAACGGAAGTGGGACCCCAAATTGGTCCACAAATTACTTCACTGTCTACTCAGGAAACAGATGATGTGCGCGACGCAAGGAGACGAGAGAGGAGAATGAGAAGAGAGCATCGAAGGGCCTTACGATCATGTTCGATGCCACCGACTTATCCAGGTGATCATGGTTGCATGGTCTCAACGACTGCACCAGGAGTGCCACTTGTGCCCCCTGTGGGAGGCTTTTTGCATCCTCCGCCACCTCACCTTGGTCTCCGGGGCCTTAGCCTGGGTCTGCCTTTCCCCGTTCCAGCTAGCGTCTCCGCCTTCGGCAGGTCAGTGCACATATTTTTCTCTGTCATTTACCGATAAGTACATCCGAAACAAGGTTATTCAACCTCACATTCAATATTTTCATATACTTTTTAAGTCAAGTATAAATATGGAATTTTTCTTTTCAATCCCAAAACAGTTTTTGTAGCTGTTTCTTAGTTGATTCAATTTTTCTTTTAAAAGCAAAGAAATTATTGATTGCATTTTCGATATGAACTGTCGATTGTATCTGCAGTCACGCTTCGTATAGTCTGAGTTTAAAATTCTCATGTCTCTGATAGTGTTCCTAATCGTTAAAACGCATTAAGTACTAAGCTAGGTTTTGTCAAGAAGGATTTTAAACCTCGCAGGGTAACAAACTTATTATTTGCACTTTTGATACAAATTTACTTTTTTTGATACACTGTAAAAGAATGTCGATCACTCAAGACTTCATTCAGACGCAGAAATTGAATAATGATAATTTTTATAATTATGCATGTTCACGTAAATGATTTTTAATACAACTCTTTTCACTTGCGCAGGAATTTAAAAACTTATTAAAGTCAATAGAAGAAAAAGTAAAACATCGGTTATCTCGAACATGATTAAGAGTAATCTGATGTTAAATCTATAGAGCTTGGTAATGATTTCTAAATTTCCAAACATAGTTACACATTAGTTTGAATCTGGTAATTCTTGATTTAATATTAGTCGTATTTTAAAAATCAGAGTTTACTTAATGATTTCTAAATCCCCAACATATGTGGATGTTCGTAATAAAAAGGACCATTTTGTCGGTTCTAGATTCGGAGATAATCGCAATTTACTAATTTTGAAAAAAAATATCGAGACTTTTTTGATTCTTTTTTTTTAATCTACAGGGTCTCACAAGTCGAATCATGCATTTTTCATTAATTTATTGATACTTTAAGTATTTTATTTCGTTGTTAAACAAAAAAATGAAAAGGGACCTGATGCCGGTCTGTTGCAAAAGTTGTTTCTGTTTCAAAATGGAGGGGGTGGAAAAATTCAAAAGCTTTTGATTTTTCATCTTAAGGATGTATTAAACTTAAAAAAACACTCATCTGAATAACTTCCCAGAAGAACCAAAGAAATTCGCGTTACAATTTTTAATTTCGTTTTTTTAGAAATTAAAATTTCGATATTTTCTAAGATAATTCACAATAAAGTCCTTTAAAAAAATTTTTATGTCTACAATAGTAAAATAACTCTGAAAATTAAATGATATTTTTGTCCATGATAACAAAAAATTGTAAAAAAATTCCCCGATTACATTGTAAAATGAAAAACAATGAAGTGATTAAAGACAACATTTGAATAAATTTTTTGACGTAATGATAAACCACAAAAAGTGCAATATACCGTAAATTATCATAATTTCCTATATAGAGGTAGCAATTGAGAATAATCCGTGCGCGTTTTTAGTATTGTTGAGAAATTCGGTATATCCGCAACTATATGGTAAAAAGAAACAAGGCAAGGTATATAGAATGACTGAAGGATGTGTACGTCCTATATGTACTAATGCTTGTTATTTTTCCCATGAATTGCCGGGTTGTTGCGTCTTCTAACAAGTTGCAGGTACATCCCTCTTTTTTTTCTTTAACTATATAGAAACAAACAAATGCAACGGAGTATACAGATATATACACATCGCGTTTATAAATTCCAGGGACAAAGAAAAGTATTATCGTACAGGTTAATCTGGCACGTTCCCTCGCGACAAGACTAGTTAATGGCAAAGTATAATACAAAAGTTAATCCGATATGAATATACTAGATATAAATTGTTCCTCTTTGGGACGTGATATCTCAATGAAAATAATTTCACAATGTACAAACTAGAATAGGACAACTTAAAGTTCAGAAGATTTAGTAAATTTTTTTCATTCGTTTTATCTCTTTAAATGCAAATGTTAATAAATACTACATGCACTCTGCATGTTTAGCTTCAATGAAGGTCGTAAAGGAAAATTAACTATACTCCTCCGTGGAATAAATATAATTAGCGAAAACTTTTTATGAAAATTGTATTTTGAAAACAGATTGCACATTTCATATAATATAATTGGAAGTTACTCTAATAAAATGTTTAATAACATTATGATAATAATGTACATCTGGAAAGATTTACTTTTAATGCTTTATAAATTTTAGTAGAAGAAAATATTTAATATTTTCTACTTAAAACAAAAAAATTTACACAGAATTGAGAAGTACATGCTGGCTAATTATAGCCTGTGGCGTTTTTTAAAAATGTTATTAAAATAAGCGCGCAACAGAAGAGCGTAATGGTTGTGACAAGACATTGCCACTATGTTTGAAATTATAATTGCCATATGAATTTAGTGTCCAAGATCATGGGAAAGCTAATTTATGATATAATCACGGCAATAAAACGTTTAATTAATTATTACTGATTATGCTGTGAGCATTAAAGCACCAGAGGGATGCTTTTTCGTTAAATGCAATTTGTTTTCCTTTGACTATATTTTCTGAAATTTTGGTGCACAGATGCTTTATAATTAAATATATATCAAAACTAGTCATTTCTTTGTAAGTTTCTCTGTGTTGAAAACGCCAAAAACATGTTAGTACATATTAAATTTTTAATTGTAAAATTCAAAATAAATTTTAGCATTTCTCTGAAATATCTCACCGTATAGTTAATAGATTCATAAAGGAACATTTCTTTGGAAAAATTTGAAGTACATTAATAGCTTCTTTTGAAGGAAACTATTTCTAATGTGCGTTTAAAGTAAATATTTTCTAAAGGGGATTTTTTCTATAAGAAAAAAACTTGAGAATAATAGTAAGGGATCGTTTACAAATTACGTCAAGTTTTATCAACTGTTTTCTGTACTCCTCTCCCTTTGGTGACAAAAAAACTCACGGCTGTATAAAATAAATAATTGAAATTTGATCCCTTTTGCCTCAAACGTTTGAAAAACTATTTTCTAAACTTTTTAATAAAGGATAAATATTTTTAAAAGATATAAATTTGGTTTCGAGCAGATGTTCTGGAGTAATAATTAAAAAAAATGGTACGGTATATATGAAAACTGAATTAATGATACACATTTTTGGAAAATTAATTGACACATACGATAGACAGAAGTCGTTGTAACTAGGAAAAATATTGGTTACCATCAATAGAAAAGGCCCTAAACATGACGTGATCAGATAACATTATACGTTTATAGGATTATAAATCGTAACCCAACGTGTAGATTAGCTCATAATCCAAAGAGCTGTGGGAGCTTTTATATTCTTGCTCTGCCCCAATAAGTAAAAGGTCACATCTGTCATTACAAAATTAAGCACTCCTACAGGAAGGTACAACAACATTTGAAAGTATATCATTTAAATAAAATTCTAACTTTCTATTACTGATTGAAATAAAGGAAAGTAGGAGTTTAGTGTTTTTTAATTAGTTATTTAAATTAAAATTAATAAAAATTAGTTAAGAAAATTAATATATTTGCAGAAAAATCTACAAAACTGTCGATTTTCACATAGAAATTAAAAGTTTTAAATTATTGTAAAAGACATCCTTTAGTTTTGGTCCATTTTTTTTTAGAAAAATTATCTTCTTGTATGTGATTCATTTTATTTTAATACAAGCCAAAAACGACAATATGATCTGCTTTAAGAAAGGAAAAATAGAAATTTAAAAAAAAGATTGTCAAAAATGTGTATTTTTTGGATTGAAACTTGTCATCAATTCATCTAATTAATTAGTACCTATTATTAATAGTTTATACAAATATGTATGCAAATTCTAATTCGAAATGAATCTGTTAAATGATTTTTATGGGAAAATCAGGCATTCTGATATTTTCTAAAGTAGCAAAAATATAAAAATAATTAATAAAATACTTTTAAAGTAGAAGAATTTTTGAAACGTGCCACCTAAAATTCAAAAAATTTATTTTTCATTAAAATGTGGTTTTCCCTATAGTGTTTAATATAAAAAACACTATATCAAAGGATTTTCTAAAAAAAAATTTTTGTTATTATTATAAAACAATTATTTTGCGAATACCACTGAGTAATATTCCGTTGAGAAAAATAATTTCTAGTCTTTTCTCAATTGTACAATTTTTCATTGAGTAAAACATCTACTAATGATAAAAAATAAAAAATAAATTAATTAAACATTGTTTAAACAATTAATTGTTATTTTTTCATAAGCTTTACTTAGGGCTAGAAATTTCTAGTTTTTTCTCAATTATGCAATTTGATTTTTTATGTAAATTATGCAATTTTACAAAGTGATTTTACCATGACGCGAAAACTGGGGACAAGAAATAACTACAATAATATTAAAAAATAAATTTTTCTTTTCACAAGTGTTTTGTTTTTCTAAATTCCACTAATTGGCAATAAGAAAATGTCAATATTTATTATATTTATTACTATATTTTACTGAAACAATAAAATTTAATATATAAAATGGTAGTAGGGACTGATTACACCATGATGTTTTGGCACCTTAAAACAGATTTTTAAGCAAAATTATAAACTTTTGAATAAAAACAACTATAGACTTTTATTTGTCATCATAAAAATTACTATTCCCCATTAGACTTATTACAATATATGAAACTGATTTCTTACAAAACATGAGGGACATTAAATTTTGCGCTACACGGAAAGACTTTGTGTTTCAAAATTTAACATGATCATGTCAAACAGGGGAAAACGATGTTTTTATGTTATTTAATCGTATTAACGTATCAACTATTAATATGGTTTATACTATAAAGATTGGCACGGACCATACTAATTTTTTGTATTACTTTGTTAAAAGCTGATACGTTCGTACGATTAAATAACATAAAAACATCGTTTTCCCCTGTTTCAAATGCATCATATTAAAGTTTGAAATGAATTCTATTAATTTTTTAAACAAAAAGTTTTTCAGTGTACGCGGAGAATCACCTATATATGTATTGTTTAATTTATTTAGTTATTATGGTTTGCCTATTAGGATAAT